GATTTTTGAATGATTTGATCAATATAAAACTTTTAGATCCTAAGTAAATGAACATTTTGAGCATAATTTAAGTCTCATAAGAAAAAGGGTTCACGAGTTACAGGCGAAAAATGCCTAAAAACTATGAAGAACAGGTAGAAGAAAAATTTAAATTCCACCACCGCAATTGTCGGCCTAATTTAAGGGTAATGATATACATCGGCGCGGCGCTGCTCTCTCGATCCGCGCTCCGCCAGAACCTATTTCTCACGGAGCCGTAAAATCTGAACGGATAAAGATTTTCTCAAAATTCAAAAAGATTTTGAATAATCAAAGTCTTTTCTACTAACACAGCAAAATTGGTAATGATTGTCAAAGGGGAACTGGCTGAAAATTGCCAGTTTCCTTCAAATGACATTTTCTTCGATATTTCTCATCCAAAATTTTTGAAAATTACACTGTCTTGTAGAGAATCGTCAGCTCTACAAGTCCTGTTTTTCAGATTTTCGTTTTAAGATCTTCGGATTTTAATATGCACCCTTGAAGTCAGCGCTGTGAGGTCATTGCGTGAGAAATAGAGAGCGGAGAGGCGCGAGAAGAAGTAGCCCTCTTTACAAATTGCGATGTGAAATAATAAAAGCTTTAAACAAAAATCTGAAAAACAGGATTTGTAGAGCTGACGATTCTCTACAAGACAGTGTAATTTTCAAAAATTGTGGATGAGAAATATCGAAGAAAATGTCATTTGAAGGAAACTGGGAATTTTCAGCCAGTTCCTCTTTGACAATCATTACCAATTTCGCTGTGTTAGTAGAAAAGACTTTGATTATTCAGAATCTTTTTGAATTTTGAAAAATCTGTATCCGTTCAGATTTTACGGCTCCGTGAGAAATAGGTTCTGGCGGAGCGCGGATCGAGAGAGCAGCGCCGCGCCGATGTATACGGTATACAGTATACCATTACCCTTAAGCTAGACTCCATATATTTTTTGTAGGGCGAAGTTTTTGTCTGTAATCCCATAAAAAGGCTTGAAAAGTGCAGAAAATGAGCGGCGCGACGCTCGTTTAGCGCGCGATGCGTCACCTTCCTTATTTGGAAATCCTAGGGTGGCCGCCGCGAAAAGATTAGAAAAAGGAAATTCTATTTGTATGAAATCCCTGTTCCTTGATTTTTAATTTAAAGGGCTTGGCAATGGCTGGGAGCTCTGAGGTGATCACTCTCATTTCTGTCCCAAACCCCTCCCACACCCATTGTTTGAAAAATTCTTATTAACTCAGAGTCATTGGGCGCGAGCCTGGCCCTGTGCGTTGGCAACCGCGTGGCCTTTTAAAACGCCACGTAGTTTTTCTCGATTTTGAAGCATTTCTTAATTGATTTCTCTTACTTAAAAAACTGATTGATAGAAATTCGTTTGGGCTATCCATTGATACTAATTTTATCTTTTATCGCCGTCGGAAATAACTGTTAATAGCCACTGAAGATTGACCAAAAACAGGAATGCGCCGCGCGCTCCCCTCAGTTTTCCCTCTTTGAAGAGAGAAGCGCGTGAGTAACGCCTATTTTGGCCGAGTCAGACCAGGGGTCTGGATTCGCTTTGCGAATTCGCTCATGAGCGAAGCGAAGCGAATTCACTTCGCTTCGCTTTCGCTTTTGTAATTTCAATTCGCTTCGCTTCGCTGTCGCTTTTTACCAAAAATTTTCGCGAAAATTTCGCTCAAAAGAATTCTTTCCAGGAGTTGAAAATTTCGCCTTTTTTGCTTAGCTTTAGCTCAATCTCAAGTGGAAATTTTGCTGAATGAGCTAAGCTGGCACATGCAAAAGCTGAAGAAATTTTACTGTTTTCAAAGTAGCTAATATTGGGTTAAACCTGAAAATATCAACAAGGGCAACAAGGGCAGCAAGGGTAACAAGGGCAACAAGGGCAACAAGTTCGGTAACCCTAACTAACCCTAGCCTATCCCCCTCGGGTGAGGTTGTTCCGTCATTTTCGCAGGTGCGCCCTAACCCTAACCTTTATTTTAGCGAAAACTACGATTTAAATGTTTTTATCGAGAAAGGACTATTTGGGGAGCTTCAACTTTTTCTTTGACTTTCTTTAATCGAGGATTTTCAGAAGATTATCTTGAGAGCAAGGTCGAATCGACAAAAATTGTACACTTCGGGTAAGGGGGATTTTTATGCGGCTTCGCGTTTAGATAAACTTACCAACAAGAATTGCATCTTGAAAGACGCCCAGCTCTTAGATTAAATTCTTGTTGTAAAGAATAATCAATTTGGAATCTCTGTCAGGAAACATAATCTGTCTGTCGAAGCAAGAGAGATCTTTTATGGATAGACATTCATCTTGATTATTAAACTATCATTTATATGTGATGATTTTTTTATTCCAAAATGTTTTTCGGTAAAAGAAAGAAAGAAAAAATTTTGTTGAAGTTGAAGAAGATTTGTTTCCATTCTGGACACCCTTGGACCGCCTGGGTCATTGAGGGGCGCGCTGCTTGAAAATGCCTCAAAATTTTCGAAAAAATGCTGATTTCGTAAATATGGCTTCCTCCTACAAAAAAATTTCTTCGAATTTGAGTAGAGAATATAAAAAAACATATTATGACTTTTTTTAAATTTTAAAAAAGGATGTTCTTGGGTGATTTTGCATTTTCGCCCAATTTCGGACCTCATTATTTCTCAACCCTTTCATAGATAATGGAATAGGAATAACTAGGGGTTAAATGGTGAAAAAATGAGCAAAATTCAAAATTTAAAAAACCATTCGAAATCGATGTATATGTATAAAACAAATCACAAGGAAGATTTTATTCTATTATTGGAAATTCATACAACGTTGTTTTCCACAATAAATCTTAATTTTCTCTTGTTGATTACAATTTTTTCTCGATAACTTTTTATTTTAATCTCCTTTAAGTCTAAATCAAAAATAATCTGAATCAACAGAAAAAATGCTTTCAGAATCTTATTCAACCTCTTTGTGCACTTTTGTGCAAAAAATTCAAGAGCAAATTATTTGTCACAACTCCGGAAGTCGGACTAGTAGGAGTGTTCGAATCCCGACGATGACACTATTTTTTCATACCGTTTTTCCTCGTTCTATGCCTAATTATGTTCAGGTGACTAGCCCTAAGTCATAATTATTCCTCCGGAGGACTATGATCCTTGAAAACTATTGCTGGAAGACTGGGAATTCAATTCCCTTTATTCGAAAAAATAGAAAAGGCCCGTACCTGGCTTTTAAATTGAAATGGGCTTGACGGCCCTTTGGTCGGTCTTAGCCCCGTACCTGGCTTTTAAATTGAAATGGGCTTGACGGCCCTTCGGGCCGTCTCAGCCCCGCACCTGGCTTTTAAATTGAAATGGACTTGAATTACGGCTAAAATTTGAAGAAAAGTTTGAGATGATCAGTCTCATTTCTTTTCCAAACCCCACCTATACCCGTTTTTCAATTTATTTCAGTTTGTCCTCCCCGATTTAAAATGATGGTTTTTGAAATTTCTATTATTTTATCTTTTTACATAAAGTTTTCTTCTTTCTTAAAAATATTCTTCCATCAGATGAGGTCTTCCGGCGTCCTTAGAGGGTCCACGTGATTAAATTATCAGATTTTTGAATGTCCACGCTTCGGTTAATCACCATACCGAAGAATTCCCTGGAAGAGATTATTTTTCATTTAATTTGCTTAAATTCTTCCATCATCTTGGTCCTCCGGGGTCCTCCAAGATGTCACATGATAAATATTTTGGAAAAATTATATGATCAGTGATTATCAGTAATCTACATTATGCATAGGTCGGGTTTGGTCGGGTTGATTTGAGTTCCGACCAACTCAGCCTGAGATTTTTTTTCTTAATTTGGTCAGTGGTCGGATTTGGTCGGACAATGATCGGTTTTTGGTCGGTTTTGGTCGGTCGGTGAATGTTTTTTGGTCGGGTTGGTCGGTTATTGGTCGAAAACCTACGCATTTTCCCCTGTGAGAAAATTAACCATTCTGAAACTTTTACTGATGAATAAGAGGTTCTAATTCAGAGCCTCTGATCATTCAGAAAAATCATTTTTTATTGTCTTAAAAGCGACCCGAGTCGACCAAAAACCGACCACCGACCGACCTAAAACCGACCAAAAAATATGGCGACCCGACCCACCAAAGCGACCACGGATTTTCCCCAATTTCTGCGAGACCGACCAACCCGACCTGGGAAAATGGTGGTCGGTGCCGAATCTAGCTTTGATGACCTTAAGTCACATGTCAAAATGATCAGTGGATCATGTGAGATCGAAATTTTCCCCGAGCTGAACAACTCACTCTCATAACTCAATAAAACAATAGAACCGGCCAAGTAGAGTCCCCTTCCTGCAGGAAACCAAGAGAACAACTACGAGAGAAAGTTCAGATCTCTCATCTGGTGACCTCGCTACGAATTCGCGCCCCAGCAGAGAGCCAGATAAGGAAAGGGTTTTATGTTTCATGTCAGATGCTTCAACAATTATAAACAAAGCGTTACACAATACGAGTAAAGTATCAGCTGCCATAAGACAGAGTCTTCTTTTTCTTCCATTGGTACACGAAGACGAAGAAACACAGACAAATTACAGGCAGACAAATCAAATACCTACGAACGCTGAAATTGTTGAACGCCTGAAAGAACTGAATCTTGAATACATTGTTTTTATCTTTTCTACATATCGCGGACGATTCTCACTGATCCCGATCGAACTTCGAGAAACTCCAGTCTACAGGAATCAAGTCAAAGCTTTTTCATCACTACTTCACGATTTTAAAACGAACGAAAGTCTCAGAAGAAGAACATCGCTATAAGACATTGAAGAGCTCCTACAACTTACGGACGAAGGATTACCCGGATTCGTTATTTACGCAATAAGAACAATAATCCACACGGTTACCATTAATAAACCAATCGTAAACAGTGGATTAGAAATTGCAGTTCAAATGGAGCGAGAAAATGCCAGCGAAGGTTCTAATAATGAAACAATTTTTGAAGATGCTGTAGACGATGGTCCAGATCAAATTGATTCTTCTTTCATCGGAAAATCCCTTTGACGATCTTTACCGACTTGCGAATGGAAAATCGAGAAACAGGGACTATTACAGGTAATTAAGGGCTTTAATTGGCCAAAAGTAGCAGTTTTAGCAAAAACTTTCACCAAAAGGGCTTTACTCAGCCTAGGTTTTCCCAAAAGGGCTGTTCTTAGAACAGAAAAAGAAGAGGCTTTAAACAGCCAAATATCAGTTTTCACCCAATTTTTAGGAAGCAAGACGTTCATGTGAATGCTCCAAGAAGCCCGACCATTTGCAAGGCCGTTGACGATGCTGCCAGGGCCTCAGTCAAGAAAATCGAGTACAAGATTGACAAAGATCTCAACCATTACAAGTCGCTGACAGTTCGTGGCCACTATGTCTGCGTCAACAGATTTGCTGAGTCGGTTTTTGGAATCTTCAAGAAAGCTGAACAAGACAAGGCATCAGCCACAACTGAAACAGTGATTCAGCTCACGATCGCACGAAAAAAGAACCTCGAATTCTACTTGGATAACTTGTCCGACTCCAAGATCAAATCACTCTGCCAGAAAATTGATGGAAAGAAAGCCCTTCAAAACTACCGTTTGGCAAGAATCGCAACTCAGCTCAAGCTACAAGAATTCGCCGCGAAGCGCCGAGAATCGATTGCAAAGGAGAAAGCTGAAAAACAACTGAATGTTGTAACCTGCTGAATAGATGTGGAAGTCAAATGATGAGTCTCTATTGTTGTTTTATAAAAGTTGATTTTATTTTCAGATTGTGTTTTGAGAAACAGAGTGTTAGTTGGACTGAGGTCCTAATCAGAGAGAGCTCTGATCAGAATTCAAGTGATAAAAATAAAGTCGGCTCCCGAAGAGCGCCACACCCAAGGGTCGGCTACTACACTCGGGGCTCCGGGGGAGAAAATGTGCACAGGTTCACAAAGTCGTATATTGTAAGTACAGTCAGATACAGTAATAAGAGAAAAAGGTTAGTATACAGAGAGAGAAAAAAAAAAATGAATAGGGTCTTAAATCAAAAAGGGTCATTCATCTGAGTTCATGTTGTGCATTTTTGTTCCTTCAGTCTTCTAGAACATCGTACAACTGCTCGTTTTCATGATTGATAATCCGTTGGGTCCACAGTTGCAGCGAAATTCGTCTTGACGACAGATATGAAGGGACTAGAAAGAAGTTTTGTATCATCGGGACCGTCCTGCCATCCAATAATTTCACACTCGAAAGATTGACCGGTCCCAATTTGCCGATTTCTATAGTTCCTAAGTTCCCAATGCTGCGTATAGTTTGTTCGTTCCGGAACAGTGTCTTTATAAGGCATCGTTTTTGGATTGCCAGTCGTTGTTTCAGAATCACGATACAGCTTTCCGATTCATACACTACTGTGTACTCTTGAGGAAGTGACTCCATTAGAGTCTCACAGTGCTCTAAGGCCAAGAGTGGCGCTATTAACGAGGTGCCCGGGACTTGAATAGTCTTTCTGAAATCCTGAATCTTCCTTAATGCATCCTGCTCCCGTGACGTTCTCAAATTTTGCCGCTCATAGCGTCGTCTGTTGTTCCAATGATCATTGGTTGCATCCCATTCCATTCCTTCTGCGTTCCATTCGTTCCGTTCCTGACCATAATTATTTTTATGACCTTCGCGTTCTGAGTAATCTTCTTCTCTTTTGCGAGAATTCTTCCGTCTACGTTCTTCTTCTTCTTCTCGTTTCCTTTTACGAGCCTCCTCTTCCATTCTTTTACGATCTTCTTCTTCTTTCCTTTTCCGTTCGTCTTCTTCCTTTCTTTTACGATCTTCTTCTTCTTTCCTTTTCCGTTCGTCTTCTTCCTTTCTTTTACGATCTTCTTCTTCTTTTCTTTTACGATCTTCTTCTTCGGCCCTTGCTTGTGCTTGTTCTCGTTCCTCTCGTTCCCGCTTTTCTTTTTGAAGTCTATCTTGCTCTTCCTTCCGGCGCCTTTCCTCCTCCGCTTGCTTTTCCGCTCTTTCACGTTCTTTTTGTTCCTTCATTCTCCTTCTTTCTTGTAGTCTTTTCCGTTCCTCTTCTAGATCACGCTCAATTCCCGCAATGATTTCGAAATTGTCCGTGACCAGCCCTTTAACGCAAAGCAACCGGGTCCGTAGTTCTCTTTGTTCCTCACTTACTACCATGATCTTATCAGGATGGAGATATAACATTGTTCGCTTCACAAATTTGTTAACAGCCTGTGGCTGTATCATCGGCACTGCTAAGTTGAATCTCTCCGCAACTCCTTCTAAGAATCTTGCAATTGAGAAGCCAGGTCTAGAAATCCATCTAGCCAGGTCTGGGTGGGTCGATAAAATTCTGTCTTGATAAACAAGAGTGTTTACGGCATCTTCGTACATCTTGGCTTTTTCTTTTTGTTTTCGGGACAGAGGTCCCTTTTTTGTTTATCTCTTACTTTTCCTTGTTGAGAGCAACTGATGTGACATCGTGATTTTTTTTTTCGAAGTGGCACATTTTACGAGGGGTGAGGCCCTTATTTGGCCTATCTTTTGATTTTGATGAGTTCTCACATAAATAATTGGCAGTGTCACAGCTGGTTGTAAATTAAAGAATGCTTTCATGTAAAAGTCAAGGGAAATTATTTTAACATAAAAGAAGATAATTAAGTTTTACGACGGAAAGAAAATGATCTTTGATGTCGGCAAGTGGCAGTGAAAATAATAAATTTACAATTGGCAGTGAAAATTGGAATGTACAATTGGCAGTGAAAAATATTTTGCTTTGAACTGTTTTCATGTTATAATTGAACTTTGAAGAAATTGAAGAAATTCAGCTTTGCAGTGGATTCAATAAAATCCTTCTGCACCAGCTGATGATTATGATAATGATTTTAAGAGTTAAGTTAGATTACTATATACAGTATATACAGGTATTAAAACGATGATAATCTTTACAAGTAGGTTAAAGCAGAGTTTACAGTATGTACAGGTTTTTTTCATTTTTTCATTTCTCGTATCTTTTTATTTAATATTTATATTTTGCATTTTTTTTTTCTTTTCTTTTTCTTTTTCTTTGGCAAGCAGCATAGATAATAATAATGATAAGCACATAATTGTATATATTTATTAAATTTTTTTATTTTTTTTAAAAAGCCTTGTTTTCATCCTGGATTTCTTGTGTTACTTTAAGCAGCATTTCATTAGCATTTAAAAAAATAATCAAATATCGTTACTCCGGTTATGGGTTGAACTTTGGTTTAGAAGCATTTAATAGTTTTCGCATCACTCATTTTTAGTGAAAATTAATAAACATTCTGTGATAATTATAATTGATGAATATGAAGGTGCGTTCATTTTAAAAAGATAATTATAAGCAGTTTACATTTAAAGCAAGCTGGGGAGTTTTATTTCTGAATATTCTACACAGACGTGTCTCTCATTTGATTGGTTCTGAAATTAGCAATTGTTGTTTGAGTTGTTTTCTTACACTTTTAGAACGAGTTCCATATGCATCTTAGGAAGATGTATCCTAAGATTAAGATGGCAAATAGTAGTAAGTATTTAAAAACTATCCGAGCCGTTCCCTCATGTTTAGGCTCGATGTTCAAAATGGACGTTATAAGAGTTGAAGTTTTGTTTACTTGGTTTCGGTGATCTTGTTCCTGTTTAACTGCCAGAGAGGAAATTCTCTTCTGAAGCAGATGTAAATCTGTTTCCAAGAGTGGAACATCCTGCAAGTGTACCTCTAAGTCCTGAACTATATTAAGTTCAATATTTCTGGACTCTTGTGGGACGTCAAAAGGTACTCCTGAGCATGTTATAAATGTGCCAGGAGTAGTTAATATTGTCGGTGAATTTGGGGGAATCACATCGATCGTCTTCCCTAACATGTTTTCAACATCCGATTTGTATGAAACTGGAAGTGGAGTCATACTCCAAACACCTAGTCCCATTCCTCTAGGTAGTTTACTGACGAGACATGATTCTCCAGTATATGGAATTGTTTTGCAAAAAATGTTTATAAAGTGTTCATTTCCTCCAAGGATGGCATTAATACATTTAAGATTCAAAGGCTCAAGATTGTCCGCAAGAGTGCAAATCGCATATTTGCGATTATCTTGAAGGTCACAGTTTGATTTGAAAATATGAGTCTTTGTGACTGATATGTGACGTGGTAAGTCATGAACCTGTTTTAGTTGCCTACTCTGGTCTAGAAAAGGAAACGTTAAAATTGAGGTAATAGTCTCATTCGGAACAAATATCGGAATCAGGACTTTGATTCTTACATCGATTTTATCCTCACCAATAAGAACTGTGTCTACTTGACATTTCATTGATTCCAGAATCTCGGGATTCGAGCAAGCAATGATCTTGGAGGGATTTAAATGGCTGCAGGCATGCGCTAACACTTTATAGTGCAAGCCATTGGGTAGTGAGCCACCCGAGCATCTCCTTATGGCGAGCTCAATTTTTGAAGCAAGGTCAGAATAGGTGAGACGAAGCTCTGTGAGCCTCAGATTGTTGACATTGTCAGTAGTGGCTACACATAAACTGTCTTTGAGAAGACTTATTTTAGCATCTTCACTTTTAATCGAAGTGGTCAAATCACTTGAGGTGACCATTTGTTTCGCCAACTTGCTTATTTTCTCATCCTCCATTTCCCGGAGGTTCTTCACCTCTGTATTGATACTGGAGGGGAGAGAGCTCCCCATGCGACCAATACTGGAAAATAGACATTGATCTTTTCCTTCTTGAATAGGCTGGAGAGCCAAAACAAAAATGTTGAGCTGTAAATAGAAGGTCGCCTTGCCCATTTTCTGCCATATATGTAAGCAAGTCTTTTATATGCTCAACTTGAAGCCCATACTTACAGGTGTATTGACTACAGCATTCATAGCCTTCAGCAGTGCAATCAACAACCTCGCCAAGCGAGTAGGAGTCAACTGGAGAGTTGTCCTTAATGCACGTACCTCGATGATACCTTGCATTTTTGTCCGGAAAATAGCCTATTGTTGGAAGTACCCTTTCTCTATGTTTAGTCGTGGTGGGCTCCGTCCGTTTTGTGGTATTTGGACGGTTTGTCGTCGTTGTTGTTCGCCTTGTTGTATTTTGCCGCTTCGTTGTCTTTGGGCGTCTAGTTGTTGTTGTCGTTGGCTTTGATGTCCTGGGCTGTTTTCTTGATCGATTTCGCGATTTTACGGTCGTACGCTTTGTAGTGTATTTCGTGGTTGCCATTCTTGTTGTGGTCGATGGTTTTGTTGTCACTACGCGCGCCTCTGTTGTCGTTGTAGTTGCCCTTTTAGTCGTCGGACTCCATCTCAGCTTGTTATCTTCCGGCAGCTCTGTCGAGCGAATTGACGGTGCTGTCATTTCAATCACACGATAATTTTTATTATCTATAGTTGGTGGAGGAGTCCAGCTTGTTAATATTACATCATTCGGGTTGGGTGTCCATCTTAGTTTGTTGTCCGTTTCACTAGAAGGTTTTGTTGGCGTGATTGAGATCACCGTTTCTTGTGTTGTTCTCCTTTTCCTTGAATATCCACTTTCTTCCTTAATCTCCGCTAGGAATTGCTTTCGGAGAGCTAGGGCCTGTTTGGAGACCTCTTTAAAATTTTCATCGCTATCAATTTTAGTTTTTATGGTTTCTAGCATCTCAGCATCACAGTGAGCAAACATTGATTCCAGAATAGGAAGTTCGAACGAAAGATCTATTTTCACTGGCTGGT